GATGTAATTAACTTCTGATAGTGTAAATAGTTAGTGAAATCTATAAGTAGCTTACTAGTGTATACTAGAGTAATGAACATTATTTAAAAAATTTCAACTAATCTAGATGAGTCTTAGCCATTCTAGTAGGTTTAAACTGTAAATAAATATGTCTAAGCTCTTACTCTTACATGTAGCATTTATATTACTTAGAGTTATAGTTTTATAATTAGCAGTTTAATGGTTAGCTCTGACCACAAGTGTTGGTTTTAGCTATAGCATATATAGAACTTCTTTTTGTATCCAGTAACTTCATGTAGTTACTACTTAATAACTACGAATAAAAGATAGAAGTAAGGCTTCATCTTAATACCAAAAAAAAATTTTATTCATTATATATAGTTTAAATGCAAGTTTTTTTTGTAAAAGCTTTAATTGAATTTTAATAAAATTAAAAGTATAACTTTAATATTTAAAAAAATAAAGTAAATATAATGTATTTATTATTTAAAATATAACAAAAAAATTTATATTTTTAGATTACTAATAAAATTTTGTCTATCTGTTTATTCATATAATTATATATAATTATTATATATTATATTATATATCTGAGCTAAATTTTGTTTATTTATTTATATATATAATTATTATAGATAGTCTATATATATTAAAATCTAAATAGAATTTTGTTTGCTTGATTTTTTGATATTTAAATAAAGTGTTGTTTTTATTTTTATTAATAATTTATTATAAACAATTATATAGAATTAATATAGACTAAAGCTAATTTACAAAGTTTTTATAAGAATAAAATTAAATTATAAACAAAGTATTCTCTAATTTATCTGCAATTTAAACCTATTAAAACTTATTTATATTTGATAATATAAAATATAATTAATAGAAATACTATAGTTTATTTATTTAAATACCTATTTAGATAGTTTTTATTAACTTTTCTGTATAGTAAATAGACATGAAAATTATAAAAATCTTCTATATATTATTAGTTAAGAAAATTACAAATACAACTGTAAATATATAATATATTAATTTATTTTATTGATCTAAATATATTATTAAAGTTTTTTAATTAATAACAAAATAGTTGATTAAAGATATTATTTTTCTGTTTCTAATTAATAATTTAATATAGTATAGTTTTCAAATTTGTTTGTATATATTTTAAGATAACTAAATTAAAAATTTTATTATAATATTAGTTACAAACTAGTTACTAATAATATATTTTCATATAATATTAATTAATAAAATCAAAATAAACCTTGTATCATTATATATATTTTTGTACAATTTTAAATATAATTATTTAAGAAAAGATATTGATGTTTAATAAGTTTGTTATATAATTCTTGTAATTATAAAGTTATTATATATATATATATATTTTTTTTAAAAGCAAGGTCTTGCCTCAGTTTTCTTTATTGAAATTTATATATAGGTATATTACATAGTATAACATTATATATATTCTATCTATGAAAAACTAAAGCTAGGGCTAATTTACTCCTGATCTAAACTTTGCCAAGAGGAGCCAAAGGCCTCACTTAGTTCTGAATTGTTGCTATGAAGTTAGGTAATGCATTGTGATTTTTGAAGTTCTTTGTCCAGATGCTGATTCTTTTTTTAACCTGCAGACTTTTGTAGTTGATAGGTATGTAGTTATTAACATTACTGTTGTCTGAAGTTACTGTATTGGGTTGGGTTGGTTTACTAGATGTGGTGATGTTCAAGAGTTGTTGGTTTGGTATATTTTGGTCTCTAGATGTTCTTTGACATAAGGTGATCCAGATTTGTTTGTATATTGCTTTGCTGATTTTATGCAGTATAATTTCAGCTGCTGTATGCTTTATCTTTTTGTTTATTGTCTTGTTAATCATCTTGCTTTGGTGTAGGATAATAATGCCCTTAGTAATCGTGTTTTCCTGTTAGTCATAAGTGTTCGATAGTATTAATAATGAAGTAAGGGTTTTCAAATTTTGTGTATTGAGTCAATGTTTGGTAAAGATTTTTGTAATTGTGTCTTTAATAATAGAGTTGATATTAGTATTTTTAGTATAGTATTGTGTCCAATGTTCATTGGTTTCAGGATTGGTTTTGCATCTTTGGCAGTTTGGGTTATTATATTTCTTAGAGTTGTATTTGTATAATACCATTTGAATAGGTAGTTCATTAAGGAAGAATTTAATTTTGAAGGCCTTCAGATTTGAATAAGAGAGATGTGTATATCTGAAAGTAGGTTTGTCATTAAAGTTTATGAAGTTGTGAAAGGTTTCCCAGTCAATTTCTTCACATATTTATTTCAAATACTCATTCGATTTTGAGTGTGCCACATGGTGATATGGATGCATTATTAATATGTCAGATAAATCTTCTGAGTACATGCTCGATGCATGCATTGTGCCAGTTAATAGTAAAGATATTATGTCTTATTGCTATGTGGTTTATGCTAAGGTAATGTATAGTAATATTGGGTCTAATTGTGATGTTCAATGTTCCATTGAACTGAAACTGGATTTGCTAGAATCTTTGTTCGATAATTGCTTTTAGTGTTAGTTAGCTAGGCCATAGTAAAGTTTTGTAAATCTGGATATTATGCCAGGGTGGAGTATTTAAAATAGATTCTGCTTTTTGGATAAACTGTTTTTTGTCAGTATGTATAGTTATGTTTGTGTTTTTATGAGTGCTAAGTGTGATGCATATTAGAGCTGTGCATAGTGCTTTGTTGGTGATTGGCCAGCTGTAATTGTTAAAGCAAAACTGAGATTTTGATTTGTTATTTTCCCAAATGACTGACATACTTTCTGTTATATTTGGTTTATAGGTCACTAACTTAATATTAGTTGATTTCATTTTTGGTGTGTTTTGGTACAGGTTCCAAAGATCTTTTGCTGCCTTTTGAGGTAATATTGTATTGGTTATGTCAGTAAAGGTTCATTGATGTGATTTGATAAAAGACTTGTTGGCAGGCTTAGTTATAGGTTTTTGATTATCCTTATTGTTGAAACATATTGTTGCTAGTTCTTTAATATCATATCTGATATTACATTTGGAGTCTACTTTGATTTGTTCAAGGTATGCTGTAGGATAAGTTGAAGTGCACTTTGTTTTTTGTAGATGCTTTTATTAAGATTGCATCCAGGATGTGGTTGTAGGGTTGTGCTATTTGGTGTTGTTATCTAGTGATATATTGTTGCATACTGATTTGTTATAGAAGATATCTTCCTTATACTTTTTGTTTTAATATTGTAGATCCAGTCTTTCTTGTTAACTTGTTTGCTTTAAGTGTGTAGAGGTTTGGTGTAAGCAGTATATGACTCTTATCTTTAATAATTTCATTAGTCTTCTGGGTTATTTGTTCAAACTATTTGGGTTTTCTGTCTCTTTGTATTTTCATTGTAGTCTGTGCAAAATGCATTCAGGTAAGTGTTTGTGAATGTGTATAGTTTGTGCATTGTTCTATTGCATAAATTTCTAATTTATTGAGTTTTGTTTTAATTTTGTAGGCTGATTTGAGTTGTTGCAGAGTATAGTTTATAGTTGTGCCTAAGAAAACTAGAGGTTTGGGCCAGGTATTGGCATGTTTTATTAGGACCTTTGCTTGGTATAGGCTTTGTAGCATTCTTGCTATAGATGAGAAGTGTTCTTATTGGCTTAAGGTATATAAATAGTTAGACAATATGGATGTGTTAGTTGCAGCTGCATTTTGTTTTTGTTGTAGTCAGATTTTAAATATAGAGTTATAGAAGTTATGATGATTAAGTTGGTATATCATTTGAGTAATATGTTGTTGGTCCTGTATTTTGTTAACTTTTCAAAGAGCGTAGTAAAACATTGTGGAGTTTGGAATAGATGTGGCCATGCCTGCTTTATGTTTTGCTATAGTTGTATAGCTGTGTATAATTTTGTTGCAGATAGTGTCTAATAGCTTGGAGTTTTGTATGTGATAGGCAATTCTAGTAAGTATTACTGAATTGATTATATAGATAGCTTGTTTTTCAGTGATTTTTGCATATTTGAGTTTTTTAATTGCATCGATTGCTTCTTCTGTTATAATTTGATATATGGGAATATGTTTTCACCCTATTGTGAACCAACATCTTAGAAATCTAAATGCTTCTTTTGTTAAGATACTAGTAATTGATGTATTGTTAAATGTTATACTGAGTGTTGTTTTGCTTATGTTTGTTGCTAAACTGATTTTGTTGATTGACCTGAATATTGGTTAGATTGTAAAATGTAGTTGCAGTAGTTATGATTTCAGATAGTTTTTCTTTTGATGTTGCAATCCAAATAGTATTATCCATGTATGCTAGTACTAGATAGTTGATTTTGTAGGTAGTGCCATTGTTGTTCAGAGTAGATATAGTTGTCTTCATTTTGCATCCTTTGTGTTTCTTAGTGATCTTGGTTAGCAAGGGGTCATAGTATATGTGTCATAGCAGAGGGGTGATCATCTTTCTTTAGTCTATTCCATTATGGACTGGATATTTTGATGTGTTGCCATGGTTTGTGATTACTAAGTTTATACAGTCTGTAAAGATATTGCTTATTAGATTAATTATGTTCTTTGGTATTTTTATTCTCTGTAGGGCTTTGCATAGTAGTGGGATATGGATGGAGTCATAGGCTTTTGACATGTCCTGTGATAATAGCCATAGTTCTTGTTTAGAAGCATTTGCACTTTCTATAATATGTGTTAAAGTAGATATTGGTATAGCTGTAGAAGTGTTTTGTAGAGCTACATGGTTGCTATTGTTGAGTATAGGGTATCTAGTAAGGATATTGTTGAGCCTGTTAGTAATTATTTTTGTTAGAATTTTTCAAGTATGCTCTATAAGGGTTATAGGTCATGTATTATTTAGTTGTTCTGTAAATTTGGGTTTTTTGGAGATGAGGTAAATATTGCTATGCTTCTATGTCTTTGAGATTGTATTTAGTGTTAGACATACATTTAATATTGTGCAAAGTTGTGTTAGGCCTGTACTACCCATGTGTTATAGCATCTCATTTGATATGCCATGTGGTCCTGTTTCTTTACTAGTTGGTGACTTCTTAATGGTCTCCTCTAGCTCTTTCAGGATAATTGAATCTGAGATATTCTTATACCAGCAGTCTTGAATGTTGTTTATAGGTTTGTATTCTTCTTCCCATTCCTTCCAGTAGTTCCAGTCTAGAGGGTTAGGCTTTGTCCAATTTTCATAGTGCATTTGTACTTCTTTTTATATTAGTTCTGGTTCTGTAATGACTTCATCTACTTTGCATATATTGTGAAGTAGGACCAGATCAGTATATCTTTTTAGTATGCTATTAATCATGTGGGTAATGTTGTTATTAAAGTCATTATATCTTTTGCTGATGTATTTATTGATTGTACTTTGGTGAATGAGATTGTTTTCTAGTTTTCTGGCTTGATGTATTGTTTTTTGCTAAACTTTTAGCTATGTGATTAGTGCCTCCTTGTTAATAGATATCAGGTCCTCTGATATAATGTAGTTGATTTGTATTTCTGTTTTGTTGTTGATGTAATCTATATTCTCATTATATGTTTGTATTAAGATGTTGTTAGAGGTTTGTATGTTTGCTTGTATTTGTCTTATTAGTTTGTTGATGTACTTAAAGGCTGCATGAAGTTTAGTAGCTTTGGTAGAAAAGGTATAGAATGTTTGAGGCTGAATTTTGATTCTGGGTATGTTCTTTTTAGCTGCTGTAATAATTGGTTGGTTGAGTTCATGCCATTGTTTGTTTAGTATGCTAGCATCTTTTATTTTTTGTGCAGTTGTATTTTCTTTTAGGTAGGTTGTGATTGAGCTTGAGAATTCTGTCTACAGATCTGGTGTCATTTGGTCATATTTAAAGATTTTTCTTTTCCTTTGTTTTTGTTTGTTGTTTTTTATTTGAGAGTTGTTTGCCCATTGCAGTTGCATTATTTAGTAATCGCTGTATGTTATTCCATTTGAAGGAATTATTTGGGGAGGTGTTATATTATGTATAAGTTGTGTTAGAACCCAGATGTTATCTATTTGGCTGTTCATTTCTTGTCGACTTCAGATAGAGTTTGTAAAGTTAAAATAGTCAAGTGTGCTAAGTAGTCCATGTAATTTTAAAGTATTGAAAAGTGGAGCTATTTTCTTTTTGAGTTTTCTGTCAATATTGAAGTCTCCAAGGACAATTGTATGATAGCTTTTAGCTGTTGCCTGGTTTACTCATTGTGCTATTGTTTGCTGTATAATCTTATTAAGAGGATGGTTTATAGCTGGTAGGTAAATGGAGATTATTCGAATTTTGTTTTTATTTAGAAAGAAGAAGTCTATTGTGATAGCTGTTCCTGGTTCTATTATGATGTTATGAATATAAGGTCTTAGTGGTCTGGTAATTGCAATTGCAGTATCAAGGCTTGTTTCTCTTTTGATTGCTCATTGAGCATTGTAATTTGAGGTGTATACATAGTAATAAAGATTGCTTATAAATAGTTCTGTATAGCTTGAGTCAGCTAATTTTGTTTTTGTCATGTTTATAATATGATATTAGTGTTGTTGGCAGTGTTTAAGCCATAATTGTAGTTTAAGTCTGTTATTCAAACCTTGTACATTATGAGTTACTATTGTCAGATCGTTGCTGATTTGTGGAAGGAGTGGGCTTAAGAGTTCATGATGAATGTTTTCTAGTGAATTTGGAGTTGTTGTGTTAGTAGTTGGTGGTATCTTTTTCTTATTTTTGTTGTACTGCATTTAATTTGGATAAGGGCAAAATATCACCCATTCTGGTTCAGGGAGTAGTGATAGTTTTAGAATATGTTCAGATATTGCTTTAACTGTATAGTGTTGTCTAAGTTTTGCTAGTATTAAGGTTGCAGTATCTTGGCTTGTTATTGGTAGTGTTGTCAGTTGTGTCAATTTTCTGATTTTTGAGGTCTTTTTGTATTTGTTCAATAGTGTCAGGTATTTGTGGCTTTGCTTCTTTGTTTGCACCTGTATCATTTATTGTTTCTTTGTTTATTTCTGGTATTTGTACCCATTCTGTAGGCAGCTTTTAGAAGTAGTAGTAGGGTCTAAGAAGGCATGCAGTTTCTGTTATTCTTTTGAGTGTATCTATTGGAATAGTAAGGTTAACTTCTGTAATCATTCTGGGGTCAGTAAGTAATCTGGGCTTGTTTGTAGGATTGGCAGTTATGATTGCTTCTGAGATAGGTAATGTAATTTTGTATATTCTTTTGACTTCATGTATAAAGGTTGCTGCTTCCATATTATTAGTAATTGGGTATGTATATGTGTTCTGAGTTTTAATTCTGCTTGGATCTTTTGGCAGACTAGGTTTTAGTAAGAAGTAGTCATTTGAGATATTTTGAAAAGTATAGTATTCTCTAAGTCTTATAACAATATCTTACATATCTGTATCTTGATTAGCTCTGTCGATTGGAAAGCATGCTCTTAGTTGTGGGTCTTCTATATCTTGATATACAGGTGGAAGTGCTGGTTTTTCTGGCATTTGTAGAGTTAAGTTGAAGAAATGATCTGGAATTTTGTCAAAGTTATAAACTTCTTGTAGATGTTTTCTATAATATGCGAGTCTTCCTAGTTCTCTTCTTTCTGTTATTGGGAAAAGGTGTTTAATTCTGTAATCTAAATCATTTATATATGTGATAATGGTAGAAGTTCAGTAAAGTAGATAGGTGGTAGCTTTTCAGATTCGAAAATTCTGTGTAGTGCTATAACTATGGCTTTTGTTTGTAACTTGAGTTTTATTGAAAGTTTGAATGGTAGAATGGCTTTTATCTCATCTGAGATTCTTATTAGTATATTAGTAGTTTGCTTTTTGTTGACTCTGTGATTGCCTCTTGTATGTCTTCTTTGTTTATTGCTTTTTCATCTCTTGTAAAACCTTTATAATATGTTAGCAGTTGATATATATGTTTTTGTAAACATGTGTTGAAATTCGTATTGGTGATGTGATTAATGTACAGTTTTTGATGGAGTTTGAAATGTATTTTGTCTCTTGTTTGTTTGTCAGTGATAATTATTTTGTTTTTAGTTTTGTATTTTTGTATTGCATTTGTGAACAGATTTTTATACTCTATTTGGTGTTGAGCCATAAAGCATTTAGCTTTTGTAAAGGTAGTGAAGAAGGTACAATCAGTATGTCTAAATTTAGATTCAATTGCATATGGTAATATTTGTTGTACAGGTTTGGTCTTAAATTTATATATAATAAGTTCTTATAGTTTTTCTTTTAATTAAAAAGCTTCTCTTGTAAGTTGGTAATTCCAGAGTGTTAGATCAAAGGGGTCTGATATTTTCTCATCTATGTTTTGGTTTAGTTGTATTGTTCACATTTGCATGTAGTCTGTATCACTTTCTGAGTCTGTGTCTGCAGTTGTTTTACCTTTAACTGCTTGGCTGTATGTACATCTAGTTTGTGTATTATTCTGCATTGAGTTTCCAGTACTTAGTATTGTGTTAACAGACTTGGTTTCCATGTTTTGGTCAGGATGCATCTCTGTTTGGGAAGGCTCAGTTTGGTGGTTGATATCAATTAGTTCTAGAGTGTGCTGTGCTGCAGTGCAATTTTTATTTTTATATTGGAACTATATGCTTGTATTTGTGTATCATTTATGGTAATGTGAGAGTTATTGTTTTGTGTAATTGTTACATAGTTGTTGTTGTTACTCTTGAAACTGGTTTTATCATTGGTTAAACCTGTTTGTTTTGTTATGTTATTGTTGTAGTTGATTGTGTGTATAGTTATGTGGCTGTTAGATGGAGGTAAGCTACTTTCTCCACTATTGTTGTTTTGTTTTAATGATGGTATTAAGGTCTTTTAACACTTGTTTGTAGTATCTTTGTCATTTTTATTAGGTCGATTATAGGGAGCTTGGTTGTGTTAAGGTTGTTTCTGTTATCTAATAGGATATTTATAACTGTTCTGCATGTTAAAAATTTGTGTTACTGTAAAAGTAAAATCGGCTATAAGCCCTGAAAGCCTTGAGATATTTTCTTTGTTTTTGGTATTGGGTTTGTATTTCCTCTTGTTTCCTGTAATAGTATATCTTAGTTTGTTTTAGGTTAGTATATAGAAAGTTGCAGGTTAACCTGCAGTTAGTATTATTATTCTGTCCTTTAGTTAGTTAGGTTTTTGTGATTTTTCTTTTTTGTTTACTTATTGTTTTGGGATCTATAGAAAAGTTTTTTTTTTTTGAAGTTATTATATTTAATTATGAATAGTTAAAAATTATTGTATTGTATTAATAATAGTAAAATTAAATATATATAGATTTGAATATATTAACCAATATAACTGGTACTAATAGAACTCTTTTCATAGATCACTTATACCAAAACTACCAAAAAACATTTGATTATTTCTCAACTTTTACTAAGCAAACCTTACTTGACCTTTTAAGTAAAGTTGTTCAGCACACTTTTCTCATTTCAGGCGAATGTGTTTTACTTCTCAAAAACATCTGGCTGTTGAGAAACGTCTCAAAAACCAAGTTTTTGGTTTTTGTCCATTTACACAAAATTTTACTAATTAAACATACTTTCTTACCTATTCAAAGTTGTTCAGCTCACTGAGCCGGACATTTTAATATATTTTACAAAAACAGACCAAAACTCACAGAGATACAAGTGAAACTCTAAAACAAAAACTTGCTTTTTGCAGGTTTTTTCATTGGCAATTCTAGAAAAATTTACTGGGATGCCCCGGAAATTTCACTTTTCTGGTACCCATTAGAATTTCCTAAATATCCAATAAGCTTACCTGAAGCTTACACACTTTTCCAAACTTTTCTAACTAGTCCAGAAACTTCTAAATTAAACAAATTTTTCTGTAAAACATACTTAAAAATCTATTTTTAGAACAAAATGCTGACCTTGACAACAGTTGCACCTAATACCATCGACCTTGACTATTTTTACCAAAAGTGTCCTAAAAGTTTGGTATTGGTATCCTTGAAGATGCAGCTAATACATCACGTCCCATTCTTGCAAACAAGCAACCAAACAATTGCTCAACTACAGAACTTAGAGGAGGAACTAAAAGCTGCCATTAC